GAGGCAACACAAGCTTCCGTCTTCAGGTGGAACAGTCACAGCACGATTGCTGTATCAAGTTTATTTATTATTTTATTTTATTAATTAAAATTTTATTTTTTACCTACGTGACTTTACCGAAAAAACCTAAGAGTATGAATCCTTGCAGTCACGAAAGCTTCAAATCTAGAACTCACTGAGCTATGTAGCCAAATACTCGCGATGTTGATTTTCAAAAGCAGAGGATCCGGAGGATAAATTCACGCGACCACGGGGATAACATGCAAACTCCAAAAATACATAATAGAGGTTTGTTTGAGGTTATATCGCATGAATATGAATGTGTCATTAAAGCCGCCACCACTCTACACAGCCAACTAGTAAGGTTTGTCACGGCAACAAAAGCCAATTCGTTACTTGTTCAGCACACCGGCGTGTTGGAGAGTAAACCCATTACATTGACAATTTGAAAAAATAATAATAAAAGTAAAATAAAACTAGAATAAAAATCACGACGTTTCGGAAGCAACACAACCATCATACTGTGAATGTTCCACCTGAAGACGGAGGCTTGTGTTGCCTCCGAAACGTCGTGATTTTTATTTAATTTCATTTTTATTTTACTTTTATTAATTTTATTTTTTTACCTACGTGACTTTACCGAAAAAACCTAAGAATATGAATCCTTGCAGTCACGAAAGCTTCAAATCTAGAATACAATAACTAGCTTCATCAGGCGACAGGCAGAATTGTGGATAAATCCTTCTGTTATGAATCATATTTGTCACGAAAACCTACTTGTTAAACTCCAAATATACAACGTGAGTCAATGTCGGGATCGAACCCATGACCTCCTGTATACCAGGCGAGGTAGTTAACATCTCCTGGCCACCGTGATGATGAGAGAGAGAGAGAGAGACACAGCCTCCAAATATACAGCAGCAGGCATCGTCAGGGGTCTGGATCGAACCCACGACCTCCTCCATACCAGGCGAGGTAGTTAACATCTCCTAGCCACCGTGATGATGAGAGAGAGACACAGACTACAAATATACAGCAGCAGGCATCGTCAGAGGTCTGGATTGAACCCACGACCTCCTGTACACCAGGCGAGGTAGTCAACATCTCCTAGCCACTGTGATGATGATGAGAGAGAGAAAGACACAGACTCCAAATATACAACATGCGTCAAGAGATCGGGATCGAACCCACGACCTCCTGTACACCAGGCGAGGTAGTCAACATCTCCTAGCCACTGTGATGATGATGAGAGAGAGAAAGACACAGACTCCAAATATACAACATGCGTCAAGAGATCGGGATCGAACCCACGACCTCCTGTATACCAGGCGAGGTAGTCAACATCTCCTAGCCATCGTGTCGTTCGAGGCCAAGCATGAGCTGATGGAACCACGCATGCGACGAACCCGTTCGGCTGCTTTCTTTGCCATGCCGAAGTCTGACAATAATAATGAGCGGAAACAACGAAAAAACCAGTTTTCCTTGCTATCGTGTGTTTTTTTTAACAAAAGCATATTTTATGTATCTGCTACGGGCTTAGCAGAAACGTGAAGCAACGCAAATAATGTGAACACCCCCCACCCTCCCTCCTGTAACAATGTTAACTGAATCACCCTTGCCTCGTATCTTACGTGGTGGTGCTTTCACAGTACAGCGTCTCGAGAGATTACCGTCGGTATGACTATTTTAGGACACAATCGACAGGAGGTACAAGCAAAATTGGCTTGCTTAGTGCGCATGCATAATGTAAGTTTGATTCCCATACAAATAACCCAAACGACAATGGATACCCATGGTCATTAAATCCTTTATATTAAGTTCACTTGCGTGCTTGCTTGCTTAGGACCGTGCAAATCTTTCGGTCGTTTTTTAACCCACTTCCCTTGATCCAATCGAGCTGACATTTTGCACACAGACTCGTTGTGCGTGACAATTAATGTTCGTGGAAAAAAAATCAAAATTTTAACACTTTTTAGGACAAAAATATTATGTTTAATTACCAATTGCTTAATGGTGCAATGCAATCATCTGACCCATATGTGGCAGCCATCTCAAGCCAGAGGACGAGAGGACTCTAACCGCCACGCATATAAAGGATTTAGAGTGAAAAACTTTGTTTTTACGGGTTATACTTGTTTATATAAATTCATTAACCCCCCCCCCCCACTTCACGCAAGAACACAACATCTACCCCTCTACAGTATTTAAGGAACGAAACAGGAGGAATCTTGATTTGAAGCTATCGTGACTGCAGGGATCCATACCCTTTGGTTCTTTCGGTAAAGTCACGTTGATAGAAAATCAACAGATCACGACGTTTCGATCGCAACACAAGCGACCGTCATCAGTTTCGATTTAAAGCTTTCGTGACTGCAGGGATTCATCTTCTTGATGATTCCCTGCAGTCACGAGAACCGTCATCAGGTGAGACAAACACAGCAGGAGAACTGCTGAAGCAGTGGAGAAGCTAGCAGAGTGTATAGTGAGAGGCTAGCAGTGGAGAAGCTAGCAGAGTGTACAGTAATATGTTAGCAGTGGAGAGGCTAGCAGAGTGAGAGAGAGAACAGGCTAGCAGTGGAGAGGCTAGGAGAGAGAGAGAACAGGCTAGCAGTGGAGAGGCTAGGTGAGTGAAAGGGAGCAGGCTAGCGAGCTAACGGAGCGAGCCAAGCATGGCAGGTGAGCAGAGCGAGGGGAAGAGTTGCGACGGAGTTACGGGGTGTTGAATAAAGTGACGCAGGAGAAAAAAAAATGTAACTCGTAAAAACTAAGTTTTTCACTAGAAATCCTTTATATGCGTGGCGGCTAGAGTCCTCTCGTCCTCTGGCTTGAGATGGCTGCCACCTATGGGTCAGCTGATTGCCTGCCACCATTAAGCAATTAGTAATTAAATATATATTTATTTTCCTAAAATGTTGAACATTTTGAAAAAAAAATTCACGAAAATAAATTGTCACGCACAACGAGTCTGTGTGCAAAATGTCAGCTCGATTGGATCACGGGAAGTGGGTTAAAAAACGACTGAAAGATTTGCACGGTCGCAAGCAAGCAAGCAAGTGAACTTAATATAAAGGATTTAATAAGAAGTTTTCCGCGTGAAATAATAGCACTACACTCGTAAGGAATTGCCATGTTCTGTTTACGTGACAAGCCTTACTAGTTGGCTGTTATAGGCAATGGCGGGTTTAACTCCGCATATATATATTTACGCAATCTAACCCAAAACAACCTGTATTATAGCCTTAACAGACTGTTGGGGCAAGTGCTGTTAGCGAGCACCTATGAAGGTCGGCACGACACACGGGGGGGGGGGTGGGTGGCCAGCACCACGCCCGGCCACCTTTGTCTCCCCAGTGGTGATGTTTACACCCTACATCGGGTACTCTTTTGAGGCCAAGTTGATCTAGGGGTGGCCCAAGACCTTTTCAGATAATCGCTATCACTGGTGTTCGTGGCCGTGAGCGGGAATTGAACTCGGCTCGCCGGGTTCATAGCTCAGCTGCGCTAACCACTGTGACACCATGGGAACCTCATTTGCCAGTAAAAATATGATAATTGGTTTTTTACCCTTCTATCTGGCAACAAAACTGACACCTTTTTACAAGGAGTCATGTTTGCATAGACCGCAATACCTGCAGTCATAATACAAACAAAAGAACATAACTCTGATAATGTGCACTGTCCTTGAAGTTGATTGGTCCACACCCGAGACAGCTTTCTTTGGGTTGGACCAGATGACGCCTTTTGGCGTCATCTGGTCCAACCCATGTGAGACTAGGCTCTAAAGAAAGCTGTCTCGGGTGTGGACCAATCAACTTCAAGGACAGTGCACATTATCAGAGTTATGTTCTTTTGTTTGTATTATGACTGCAGGCATTGCGGTCTATGCAAACATGACTCCTTGTAAAAAGGTGTCAGTTTTGTTGCCAGATAGAAGGGTAAAAAACCAATTATCACTGTGACACCGCTACCCACACTGACACACATGTATACGCACTGACACGCGCGCACTCCTCTGACAAGGTGACCAAGGTACTCTGTAAACCTTTGGGCTACTATCAAAGGTTTGTTCATGAAGCCATCCAGATATATACACATAGACACAACTTCAACCGAGAAGATGGATACAAATTGAGCAATTATTGGAAGGATGTTATTAACCAGGTAAAACCCTAACTGCTTTATATTGGTTGTCGTCAATTATATCTACCGGGTACTACTACACCACGCAGCGCTTCCACCCCCCTACCCTACACCCTCACCCCTCCCTCTCCCCCATTTCTCCTCCCCCTTTCTTGCCTATACAGTTAGGGAAAAAAGTATTTGATCCCCTGCTGATTTTGTACGTCTGCCCACTGACAAAGAAATGATCAGTCTATAATTTTAATGGTAGGTTTATTTGAACAGTGAGAGACAGAATAACAACAACAAAATCCAGAAAAACGCATGTCAAAAATTGTTATACATTGATTTGCATTTTAATGAGGGAAATAAGTATTTGACCCCCTCTCAATCAGAAAGATTTCTGGCTCCCAGGTGTCTTGGCTGAGATTAGGAGCACACTCTTAAAGGGAGTGCTCCTAATCTCAGCTTGTTACCTGTATAAAAGACACCTGTTCACAAATACTTATTTCCCTCATTAAAATGCAAATCAATGTATAACATTTTTGACATGCGTTTTTCTGGATTTTTGTTGTTGTTATTCTGTCTCTCACTATTCAAATAAACCTACCATTAAAATTATAGACTGATCATTTCTTTGTCAGTGGGCAAACGTACAAAATCAGCAGGGGATCAAATACTTTTTTTCCCTCACTGTATAACCTCTTACCACGGCAACTCTCTCTCCCACTTCAGCAAAAAAATGTTCTTGCTGTGGTTTTCCACCCGATGATGATTGCTTGTGTTGCAATCGAAACTTCGTGATTTAATTGATTGCATTTAATTTTATACCTACGTGACTTTACTGAAAGAACCAAAGAGTAAGCTCCCCTGACACTCACATTTTGTAGACCGCGTCGCAGCGTCATAGAAGTACTTCAGCTTGAAGCCTCGGCCTGCAGGAGGGAGAAAGGCTGGTGTAAGCTTCCCGGGCGGTGAGGAGACACGAGGATGAGACACGAGGAGGAGACACGGGGGGAGACACCAGGAGGAGACACGAGGAGGAGACACGAGGGGGATTTGCTAGGAGGAGACACCAGGAGGAGACACCAGGAGGAGACACGAGGGGAGACACGAGGAGGAGACACGAGGAGGAGACACGAGGAGGAGACACGAGGAGGAGACACCAGGAGGAGACACGAGGAGGAGACACGAGGAGGAGACACGAGGAGGAGACACGAGGAGGAAACACCAGGAGGAGACACGAGAGAGAGACACCAGGAGGAGACACGAGGGGGAGACACGAGGAGGAGACACGAGGAGGAGACACGAGGGGGAGACACCAGGAGGAGACACGAGGAGGAGACACGAGGGGGAGACACGAGGAGGAGACACGAGGAGGAGACACGAGCAGGAGACACCAGGAGGAGACACGAGGGGGAGACACGAGGGGGAGACACCAGGAGGAGACACGAGGGGGAGACACGAGGAGGAGACACCAGGAGGAGACACGAGGAGGAGACACGAGGAGGAGACACCAGGAGGAGACACGAGGAGGAGACACCAGGAGGAGACACGAGGAGGAGACACCAGGAGGAGACACCAGGAGGAGACACGAGGAGGAGACACGAGGGGAGATACGGGGAGGAGACACCAGGAGGAGACACGAGGAGGAGACACCAGGAGGAGACACGAAGATGAGACACCAGGAGGAGACACGAGGGGGATGTGCTAGGAGGAGACACGAGGAGGAGACACGAGGAGGAGACACCAGGAGGAGACACCAGGAGGAGACACGAGGAGGAGACACCAGGAGGAGACACCAGGAGGAGACACGAGGAGACACCAGGAGGAGACACGAGGAGGAGACACGAGGAGGAGACACGAGGAGGAGACACGAGGGGGAGACATGAGGAGACACCAGCAAGATTGTTGAGGCAACATGAGTAGAGAATGTGCGATCCATGCAGCTAATTTTCGGCACTTCAAATGTAGCCACAACAATATTTATTTTCACGTAATCAACTCTTGACTTGGAATTGAAACCTGAATTTGTATTATTAATCGAACAGCGAGCGTGCAAATTGCCTCGGCTCTACCGCCCAGGATGGACCGTGGTGGTTAGATGTCAATTACCGCTCCTGGTGTACAAAAGATCGTGGGTTCGATTCCGACCTGACACCGGTTTATTTCGGGGTTTGCGTGTTCTCCCTTTGGTCGCGTGGATTTTCCTCCGGCACCTCCAGTTGTTTTCCTTCACATTTAGAATCAACATCACTTGTTTAAGAGTAATTGGCCGCTGCTATACATTTCCACGTGATGATGATAAGTCAAATTTCGATTTAAAGCTTTCGTGACTGCAGGGATTCATCGGTAAAGTCACGTAGAAGGGAAGTAATAAAATAAAATAATAAATAATATGACTTTGAAACCCCCGCACCCACCTCCTACGCATTTCCCATGAATATGCTAAATTCCTCTTCATATGCACATTCTTTTTGTTAAGGCGCTCTTCCACCTCCAACGCAGCTTATATATAAGCTCCTAGCTTGGTAGTGTCTCATTCTTCACCTGAAGACGGCTGCTTGCGTTGTAGCCGAAACGTCGTGAGAATTGTATTTTATTATGTTTTATTTTTATTATTTTATTACTTCCCTTCTACGTGACTTTACCGAAAGAACCAAGAAGATGATAAGTCACTTTCGTTGAGCTATCTTTTGGCGATAGCCAGGTCGCTCCTGAAAAAGAGCTATATAGCTCGGTGAGCCTTACCTTCTAAAATAAAAATACATCTTTAGTTTGAGTACGGGTCTCTGTGACTCTATATGAGTTAAAAGCAGTGGTTCTTAACTTTTACTGCAGCCTTGCACCCATTTGGTTCTCAATCGTAAAATGCTGTCCTCAGCAATTCGTTACCTTCCAGAGGCCCCGTGGAGTTGAGCACCAGGGTGAGGCTTTGTCCCGTCGACTTGAGGCTGTAGGGCGGCACCGAGCCACGCCCCGTTCCACACAGCACGGCCAGGGTCTCGCCGCCGCCACTGCCGCTGCTTCTCGGCTCTCCGTCCAACACCTCGAGGCTCTCGTTGTAGCACGGGGATTCATCGCTGAGGCTGCGCTCACGCGAGCCACGGGCACAAAAAAGACAAAGATCCTCCCAGACTTTTGGGGCAAGTGTTGTTTGCGAATAGCACCTATGAAGGCAGGAGGAACCGGCTGCTGTTGTTCATCCTGAAGAAACCTTCATCTACGTTCTACGTCCTACAGAGTCTCCAACACGTGGACCTGGACCTAAGCTGTGGTCCGGTCTATTTTAGCGAGTTACGTTGTAATTAGCGTAGTTAGCCTGGTGGTCACCACCACAGGTTGTTATTCTGTTAACCCGAGTGTTGGTGTAAATAAATGTGTTGCCTCCAAAGAGTATGTCTGCGACTCAGTTGAACTCACTACAACTGGTGTCGGAAGTGGCCAAACGTTCTTTAGTAAGCTAGCCGTGGTGGATTATGTTTACGAGAAGCAGACTATGTACCAGGACGTCGGACAATGAAGACGACAAACTCATCCCTCAAACAGCCCCGCGGATGGCGACCCCAGAGAAGGGAGGCGAGGCGCCATCAAGGAGAGAGCGCCATACATCACACTCCTGCCTCATAGAGCTCTTTCAAGCCGTGGCGTCGATTGTCGCGGAGCTCCACCGCGAAGAGCCAGCGGCAGAGGAGAGAGCAATGGAGCCGCGCGGGAATGCGAGTCGCGACACATCACACGCTCGGCCCCTGTATCCACCTCACTCATCTCGCTCGGTCGGTTTTCGTTCCCGTGTGTCGGTGCAGGAGGGTTCGGACTTTGATCGGGCCGACTGGCCGCTCAGACTGGGTCAGTGGTCGGAGCTGGCCCACAAAGTGGTTGCCGCGACCGCAGGTTCATCCACTGTTATCGGATTGATAGAAGGGGTTGAAATCAGGATGCTCGTCGACACTGGTGTGTCGGCGAGCATTATTTCCGAGTTGATCTATAATATCTTTGCCTCCTAAATGTCGTACCCTATGCCCGTCGAAGCTCTGTGCTTTGCCAAAAATGGCGAAAATAACAGCGGAGGTGTGTATTGCGGATATACAATTTACAGGACCATTTCTTGTATTGACGTCCCTTGCTATTCCTTGCTTGCTCAGGACTGACTTTTTGGGGAAGATGCCCCTAAAAATGTTGATTGATCAAGGGTGCTTTGAATTACCATCCGGCCGTCGAATGACATTTTTGCAATCTCCCATTCGATTGTACACAGCCAACGCTACCGTGCAAACTTTTGCGTGTAAGACAGTAAAGATTCCCCCTGGCGTGCAAATGTTGTTGGTTCCTTTGCGATTGCGGAAGCCGCTAGACCAGGAGGCGACTGCGGGAGAAATCCTCTTGGGATCCTCTAATACAAACATTCGTGGGTTGATGTTAGTGGGGGCCCAGACGTTGGTATCCAATCATCTGGAATCCTTCATTCAGGTCCTTATCACCAGTGCTACGTAAAGGAAGCATCGTTGGCAGTGTGGGGACCACATCAAATACGCGGCCACAAAAGGGTTCTGATGAGAGGTCGATAGATGCGCTTTGTTCGGAAAATGCGAGTTGTCCGAGGCCCAGAGGGGAGAGTTGAGGGCGCTCTTGCGTGAATTCTTGGATGTGTTTAGCAAAGGATAATTTGACATCGGCCGCAATACGCTTTTGAGTCACCACATCGATATGGGCGACGCCGCTCCCATCCGGCAGAATCCCTACCGGCTGAGCCCTACTGAAAAAGAACACGTATGGCTAGCGGTTGGTGAAATGTTAGCCGCGGATATTATTTCACCATCCACCAGCCTGTGGGAAGCCCCAATTGTTCTTGTTAAAAAGCAGGATGGTAGTTTTCCCTTCTGTGTTCACTTCCATAAGCTTAATAAGATATCTGTTTCTGCAGCGTACCCTCTACCTCGGATGGACGATTCCCTGGATGCTCTAGCAGGAGCACGGTTCTTTTCCACTTTTGACCTCCTATCCGGATTTTGGCAGTTGCCACTAGATGAAGCCTCTAAGCCCAAAACAGCCTTTTGTACACCACAAGGTTTATTCAAATTTTATCGGCTTCCGATGGGTCTTCATTCCGTGCCGGCTACATTCCAGCGATTGATGGAACTGGTTCTAGCTGGTCTCCAGTGGGACTCGTGCCTAATATATCTCGACGATGTTATAGTTCCGTATATTTAAAGAACACCTCGAACGTTTACATGCTGTCTTTCTTAAAATGCGTGCGGCCAACCGAAAATTTTAACCACAGAAGTGTCACCTTTTTTAAAAATCTGTTCGGTATCTTGGCCACATAGTCAGTAAATCAGGTATTGCGACGGACCCGGACAAAACTGAGTGTGTTTGTATTTGGCCGACCTCCACGTCGGTGGGGGAGGTGCGGAGTTTAATAGGATTTGCGTCCTATTACCACTGTTTTGTCGCCGGGTTCGCTACTATCGCCAAACTTCTCCACACCTTGATGGCAAAAGGTCAGAAATTCCATTGGGGGGAGGAGCAGAAGGCTGCATTTGTTGCACTCCGCGATTGATTGGTAAACCCCCCCCCCCCCTCTCATCCGCTACCCAGACTTTTCCTTGCCGTTCGTCCTTGATACAGACGCTAGTAACACCGGAATTGGAGCTGATCTGTCTCAAGTTGTCAATGGCGTCGAGAGTGTTGTTGCATATGGAAGCAGAGAGCTGTCTCCAGCCGAACAACGGTACTGTGTCACACGCCGTGAACTGTTGGCTATTGTGTTTTTTGTGCAACAGTATCGCCCCTATTTGTATGGTAGATGCTTTGAGGTGAGCTCTGACCATGCAGCGCTACAGTTTGCGCTGCGTAGTGAACAGCCGTCTGGCCAACTTTCATGCCGGTTGAAAGTCCTCCAGGCCTATTCCTTTACTGTTACTCTCACATTAACATAGCCACTTCAGCATCCTCGCCGTCGAGGTCGTCCTCCGATCTTACACTTACATGCACATTTTTTACCTGGCAGCCCTTTGATTGGTGGGAATCCACCACGAGCGCCGCTGTGGACCATCACTTACATTACACTTGGGCTACGATCATTTTAAACTTTTATAAACAGTTTGCCTTTAGAGGCTAACCCCCTTTTCTTAATGACGGCCGCTTGTGTTGCGATCGAAACGTCATAGATTTTTTGCTATTTTCTTTGAACCTATCTACGTGACTTTACCGAAAGACGCAAAGAATATGAATTCCTGCAGTCACGAAAGCTTTAAGTCAAGATTGTTTATCCATAATCGAGGGATTTTTTGGATTTGATCCCATAAATATAAATGTGTCGTTAAATTGTAAATGTTGGAGTGGGTTTACTCTCCAACACATAACCCGTTAGCGCTGAACCAAGTAACTAATTGGGACGTTTTGTTTACATGACATAAACCATTACTGATTGGCTGTGTGTCGGGGTGGTGGCAAGTTTAACGACACATTTATATTCACCAGATCTAACCCAAAAAAAAATCTCATGGATAATTTTGGTTGCGAAAGCACTACTACTGCTACGCGTTAGGGCAGTGGTTCTTAACCTGGGGTGCATGCACTTCCTGGGGGTGTGAGACTTGGCCCGATTTTTGTTAGAAGGTAAATAATCAAAAACACAAATAAAGCTGCAGGCACGTAAGTACAACTACTTTGTTTCATCAAACCCTATGCATTTATTAACAGTACACATTGTTTTAACGATTGAGAACCAAATGGGTGCAAGAGTGCAGTAAAAGTGAAGAACCACTGTTCTAAACGCATGTTTCTACAGATTCGTATAGACCCACAAACTCAAACTAATCTCTTTATTTACCAGGTAAGACCCACCGAAGCGACCTGGCCATCAAAACTGATAGCTCAACCAACGAAAGTGGCGTATCATTGTATGCCCATGTATAGCAAGTCAAATACTCTAAACGCATGACTTTGATTCTAAATGTGAAGCGAAATAAAATCCGGAGGACCCAGAGAAAAATCTCCGTGACCATGGGGAGAACACGCAAACTCCAAATATAAACCAGGGCTCAGGGTCCAAGGCTGCAGTGAAGGTTAAGAACCAATGTGTAGAGGTGTTACGGGAGGGTGAACAAACACACCAGGGGTGGTTATGCCCGCACGCGGAAGGATGCTTACATCCACGTCCGCATCGGTTAGCCCTGGGGGGCTAAAACGGCGCTGTGATCCCCCACGGCCCCACCCCTCAGTGGGGGAGTTGCTATATAAGGCGGTGAGCCGGTGGGTTCAGGGGTCAGTGTTCAGCTTAAACCAGTGAAGAGAGAAGACCGGCAGGATAGGCCCTGGGACTCCCCTGGATCGCTGTCCTTCTCAGGACCGACCAGGGCAAGCCAGTGGCATGGCCCCGAGAGCCCAGAGCCGATGCACTTGTAAGAGCTGGTCTGGTGACTCAGGGTGCCGTGATCCCAGCTTGGCCAGAGCTGGATCAGCTAGCCTTCCCTAGATCTCGAGTGGAGGACCTGGGAGTAGGCTAGCCGGGATAGAGATAGTAGGGTCTCCCTGTTAGACGGGTGAAGGGGCCGATACCCCTACGAGTGTTGTATACCTTGGTCTGTATTGAGTGAAACGGTTAATAAATAAGTGTGCCTCCGACTACGTCGTCCACGTCTCATTGAACCTACTACAAATGTATAAGGGTAGTCCACAGTGTTGCTGATGTTGTTGTTGCCGAGTTGCTCATTGTGACGAGTGTGCGGGGCGTGTGCTCGCTCGCTTACTTGATGCTCTCGAACGTGACCTTGAGCACGTACGGCGCCCTCGTGCTGATGGCGAACGTGAAGCTCACGGCTGAGGTGTTGGAGACGAAGTCGGCGGACGAGATGGAACCGCTCGTGGCGTTGAACGCAGCGGTAGCTGTCGGACAAGAACAGCAGCAGCAGCGGCGGGATCAGCAGAGGGGTGCGGGGTGTATGTGTCATGGGTTCAATTGAGGCGCACGCTTAAACTTTGGGGCAACACTGTTTGTTAACTAACGTAACAGATAACTCAGATGTTAACAGGATAACGATATAGGGTGGTGACCACCGTTCCTAGCTTTACTAGCACTTGAGGTGATAACTACATAATGGGACCAGGACAGCTTAACAGGCTGCCTGGCCCACGAGCGGAGATCGGAGACCGAGGTTCGTAGATGGCATCTTCATTCCCGGAGTTGAACAGCCCCGCTCTCTCTCGGGACGAGGCTTATAACTGCTCCGCCCTCGGCTACGCCCCCTTCTAGATCCTTCGGAAAGGCCCGGATCCCTCACCACGTGACCCTCGCACCCCCATCTGGGGGTTCCCTGGCCCCCCTTCGTCCGGTCACATGCCCTATTGGGTTCGCACGGTGTCACGGCCTGACGTGACCTCAGTGACACCCGGCCATGCTGACGCTGGTGCCATAGAGAGGCACCCCACCTACAGTACCCGTCATCACCTGGTACTGTCTCAACACGGTAGTGACATCGTTTATGTCACTACCGATGTATGGACGTGTGTCGAACTTATTTCGCACCGTGCCTTGCCAAACGTGCTAATCGAAGGTGCAGGGAGACGGACAATAAACGATGAGTCTCTGTGTGTGTCTATTTGGGCACTCTATGAGTCTATGAGTCTCTGCTGTGTGAGTCTATGGGTCTCTGTGTGAGTCTATGGGTCTCTGTGTGTGTCTATTTGGGCACTCTGTGAGTCTATGGGTCTCTGCTGTGTGAGTCTATTTGGGCACTCTGTGAGTCTATGGGTCTCTGTGTGAGTCTATGGGTCTCTGTGTGAGTCTATGGGTCTCTGTGTGAGTCTATGGGTCTCTGTGTTAGTCTATGGGTCTCTGTGTGAGTATCTGGGTCTCTGTGTGAGTCTATGGGTATCTGTGTGAGTCTATGGGTCTCTGTGTGAGTCGATATCAACAGGGTTTAGATGGCTACTCTCTGGTTCTATGCTCTATAGCCTTCACCAAAGACACAGATTCCCCATATAGCCTACCAGACTGTTGGGGCAAGTGTGTGTCTCTGTGCGTGTCTCCGTGCATGTCTCCGTTAGTGTCTCCGTGAGTGCCTCTGTGCGTGTCTCCATGCATATCTCTGTCTTTGTTTCTGTGTCTCAACACTCCCCGTAGACTCAACACTGCATCATAGACTCAACACTACCCATAGACTCAACACTACCCATAGACTCAACACCACCATAGACTCAACACTGCACCATAGACTCAACACTCCCCGTAGACTCAACACTGCATCATAGACTCAACACTGTACCATAGACTCAACACTGCATCATAGACTCAACACTGCACCATAGACTCAACACTGCCTATAGACTCAACACTGCACCATAGACTCAACACTACCTATAGACTCAACACTACCATAGACTCAACACCACCATAGACTCAACACTGCACCATAGACTCAACACTGCACCATAGACTCAACACTGCACCATAGACTCAACACTGCACCATAGACTCAACACTGCACATAGACTCAAGACTGCACCATAGACTCAACACTGCCCATAGACTCAACACTGCACCATAGACTCAACACTGCACCATAGACTCAACACTGCACCATAGACTCAACACTGCCATAGACTCAACACTGCCCATAGACTCAACACTGCACCATAGACTCAACACTGCACCATAGACTCAACACTGCACCATAGACTCAACACTGCACCATAGACTCAACACTGCCCATAGACTCAACACTGCACCATAGACTCAACACTGCACCATAGACTCAACACTGCACCATAGACTCAACACTGCACCATAGACTCAACACTGCACCATAGACTCAACACTGCACCATAGACTCAACACTGCCCATAGACTCAACACTGCCCATAGAACTCAACACTGCACCATAGAACTCACCACTGGTCATCCAGAGACGTCAACACTAGCCAATAGACTCAACACCACCATCATAGCTCAACACTAGCACTAGAGACCTCAACACTAGCACCATAGACTCAACACTCACATAGACTCACAGCGGCCCATAGACTCAACACTGCCACCATAGACTCAACACTGCACCAGTAGACGCAACACTGCACCATATACTCAACACTGCACATAGACTCAACAATCTGCACCATAGACTCAACACTGGGGCACCAGTAGACTCAACTACCTAAGACTGTCAACACCAGAGACTCAACCCTGCACATTAGACTCAACACTGCACCATAGACTCAACACTGAACCATAGACCTCAACACTGCACCATAGACTCAACACTGCACCATAGACTCAACACTAGCACATAGACTCAACACTGCACATAGAATCAACACTGGCAGCAACAGTGAACTCAACACTGACCTAACCTCATGAGACTGCACACGCACATAGACTCAACACTGCACCATAGACTCAACACTGCCACCGTAGACTCAACACTGCCCATAGACTCAACACTGCACCATAGACTCAACACTACCCATAGACTCAACACTCACCATAGACTCAACCACTGCACCATAGACTCAACACTGACCCATAGACTCAACACGACCATAGAATCAACACTACCCGTAGACTCACACACCCATAGACTCAACACTGCACCATAGACTCAACACTGCACCATAGACTCAACACTGCACCATAGACTCAACACTGCACCCATAGACCTCAACACTGCACCAGTAGCCTCAACACTGCACCTTATGACTACAACACTGCCCATAGACTCAACACTGCACCATAGACTAAACACTGCACCATAGACTCAACACTGCACCATAGACTCAACACTGCCCTATAGACTCAACACTGCACCATAGACTCAACACTGCAACCATAGACTCAACACTGCACCATAGACTCAACACTGCACCATAGACTCACACTGCACCATAGACTCAACACTGCACCGTAGACCCCTCAACACTTGCACTATAGACTCAACACTGCACCATAGACTCAACACTGCACCGGTCGACTCAACGCTGCACCATAGACTCAACACTGCCCCATAGACTCAACACCTGCACCTATAGACTCAACACTGCACCATAGACTCAACACTGCACCATTAGATCAACACTGCCACCATAGACTCAACCAATGCCCAATAGACTTCAACACTTGCACCATAGACTCAACCACTGCACCATAGACTCAACACTTGCACCATAGACTCAACTACTACCATAGACTCAACCAATTCTGCACCCCATAGATCACCACCTGCACCGATAGGCCTCAACACTCCCATAGACTTCAACACTGCACAATCAGACTCAACACTGCACCCTATAGACTCAACTACCATAACCACATAGACTCAACACTTGCAACCATAGACTTCAACACTGCCACCATAGACTCAACACGCACCATAGACTCAAACACTGCACCATAGACTCAACACTGCCCGTTAGACTCAACATCGCACCATAGACTCAACACTGCACCATAGACTCAACCACTGCACCATAGACTCAACACTGCACCATGACTCAACACTTGCCCATAGACTCAACACTGCACCATAGACTCAACACTGCACCATAGACTACAACACTGCACCATAGACTCAACACTGCACCATAGACTCAACATGCCCATAGACTCAACACTGCACCATAGACTCACACTGCACCATAGACTCAACACTGCACCATAGACTCAACACTCCATAGACTCAACACTGCAATAGACTCAACACTGCACCATAGACTCAACACTGCACCATAGACTCAACACTGCCCATAGACTCAACACTGCACCATAGACTCAACACTGCCATAGACTCAACACTGCACCATAGACTCAACACTGCACCATAGACTCAACACTGCACCATAGACTCAACACTGCCCATAGACTCAACACTGCACCATAGACTCAACACTGCACCATAGACTCAACACTGCACCATAGACTCAACACTGCACATAGACTCAACACTGCACCATAGACTCAACACTGCACCATAGACTCAACACTGCACCATAGACTCAACACTGCCCATAGACTCAACACTGCACATAGACTCAACACTGCACATAGACTCAACACTGCACCATAGACTCAACACTGCACATAGACTCAACACTGCACCATAGACTCAACACTGCACCATAGACTCAACACTGCACCATAGACTCAACACTGCCATAGACTCAACACTGCACCATAGACTCAACACTGCACCATAGACTCAACACTCCCATAGACTCAACACTGCACATAGACTCAACACTGCACCATAGACTCAACACTGCACATAGACTCAACACTGCCCATAGACTCAACACTGCACCATAGACTCAACACTGCACCATAGACTCAACACTGCACCATAGACTCACTGTACATAGACTCAACACTGCACCATAGACTCAACACTGCCCATAGACTCAACACTGCCCATAGACTCAACACTGCCCATAGACTCACACTGCACCATAGACTCAACACTGCACCATAGACTCAACACTGCACCATAGACTCAACACTGCACCATAGACTCAACACTGCACCATAGACTCAACACTGCACCATAGACTCAACACTGCACCATAGACTCAACACTGCCCATAGACTCAACACTGCACCATAGACTCAACACTGCCCATAGACTCAACACTGCACCATAGACTCAACACTGCACCATAGACTCAACACTGCACCATAGACTCAACACTGCACCATAGACTCAACACTGCCCATAGACTCAACACTGCACCATAGACTCAACACTGCACCATAGACTCAACACTGCCTATAGATTCAACACTGCACACAGACTCAAGACTGCCCCTGTACATTAAGCAGTCCATCCCCTTAACCTCATTCCGTTCCTTTCTTAAAGCCTCACCTCTTCTCCATAGCTCCCCCTCTCCCCTCCAGTCTGTCTCCTTCCATCGTCTCAAGCCCTTCCGTAAACCCACGTGCCCTCGGTTACGGTCACTCATTCCTGGTCCCTTGCACCGCTCCCTGCCATCTAATTCACTCCGTTTTTGTTTCTGACTTTTCCACGTAAAGCGCCTTGGGCTAAAGTCGCGCTATGAATATGTAATAAGATTCGTAATAGAATGTTTTTTTGGGTTTCGATCGCGTAAGTATAAATGTGTCGTTAAATCCGCCACAACCCGACACGGCCAATTAGTAAGGTTTGTCATGTAAACAACACGTGCTAATTAGTTACTATTTCAGCCCACCGGTTGTGTGTTGGAGAGGAAATCCACTGCAAGATTTACAATATGAGTACCATGACGTTTTGATGGTGGCTACATCCAGCCTCATTGGATCATATTTCAACCTTCCCTACAATTCTCGTACCTCACAACTCTCCACGCACAACGGCATTTGCTTGCTGTCTACTACCGCTGCCCGTTGAAATTCCTCGCTCTTCTCCAAATCACTTCATGGTCTTGTCCCACCGCATCTTGCCACTCTTGTATCTGTCTATGTGACGCCTTCTCGCCCTCGACGTTCTCAATCTTTGCTCTCTCTCTCGGTCTGTTCCTCCTTGTGCTCAATCCACGCTTTCACTCTTCATTGCCTTCTCGCCCACCCCATTCACTGGAACAAACTTACTCCTCCACGATTTAAAGCTTTCGTGACCGCAGGGATTCATCTTCTTGGTTCTTTCGGTAAAGTCACGTAGAAGGGAAATAATAAAAAAATAAAAATAAAACATAATTAAATAATTCTCACGACGTTTCGGCCACAACGCAAGCAGCCGTCCTCAGGTGAAGAACAGGTCTGTCGGAAAGACAGTGGTGGTGCTCATTCAGACAGACCTGTTCTTCACCTGTTCTTCACCTGAGGACGGCTGCTTGCGTTGTGGCGGAAACGTCGTGAGAATTGTATTTCATTATGTTTTATTTTAATTATTTTATTATTTCCCTTCTACGTGATGACTTTACCGAAAGAACACCACCTGGTGGTGTTCATTAAGACGCTGTCTTTCCGACAGACCTGTTCTTCACCTGAGGACGGCTGCTTGCGTTGTGGCCGAAACGTCGTGAGAATTATTTTATTGTGTTTTATTTTTATTATTTTATTACTTCCCTTCTACGTGACTTTACCGAAAGAACCAAGAAGATTACTCCTCCACATTAAGCAGTTACCTTGGCCCACTCGTTTCCGCTCCGCACTCAAAATTCGCTTATTGTTACCCCGAGCTCACCCCACGACCGCTCAACCTCCCCCTCATAACCGCGACCACTGTTACTGTTCACTCTTCATATTCTCATTACACGGCTATCACGCATTCCCCAAATTCACGCGTCACAGATTTGCCCCCCCCCCATTGCTTGCTCTCGTCAATTTCGTTCACCTCATCTCCACCATTACATTCATATTTACCATCTTTAATTCTGTGTAAAGCGCCTTAGATGAGGTGCTATCTAAATTATTTTAAGATAGAATATGTTTTGCCAGAATTGTGAAGAGAGCTGCCTGTTTCCGGCCCTAAAAAGAGCAAGATGATGAGATACAAACAACGATATCGTTCTCGTCGCTACGGGATAGAGTGTTTCCCCCTCGCAAACGCGCCTGGGGGGGGGGGGGGGGGGCTTTCTGTGGATGGTCCAGTTTCCGCTCACGTGTATGAAGGCAAACGTGTTATTGGCCGGTAACTTCCTTCATGTATCTTCTTGGTTCTTTCGGTAAAGTCACGTAGAAGGAAAATAATAAAAATACAACATAATAAAATAATTCTCACGACGTTTCGGCCACAACGCAAGCAGCCGTCCTCAGGTGAGGAACAGGTCTGTCGGAAAGACAGCGTCTGAATGAAACACCACCAGGCTTGGCAGCGTATATTTAAGCTGCTGGGTTGGAGGGGGAAGAGCGCCTTGACAAAGGAATTTGCATATCAAGAGGAATTTAGCATATTTATGGGAAATGCAGATATGGGATTAGTCACTATTTGTGGAATTCGTAGGAGGTGGGGGGGGGGGGGGTTCAAAGTCATATTATGCCCGTGCATTATGCAGGATTAGCAGCATCAATGTTCATTCAGACGCTGTCTTTCCGACAGACCTGTTCTTCACCTGAGGACGGCTGCTTGCGTTGTGGCCGAAACGTCGTGAGAATTATTTATTAGTTTTTATTATTTTATTATTTCCCTTCTACGTGACTTTACCGAAAGAACCAAGAAGATGAATCCCTGCAGTCACGAAAGCTTTAAATCGAAATTTAATTATTTTATTACGTTGTATTTTTTTATTTTATTATTTCCCTTCTACGTGACTTTACCGAAAGAACCAAGAAGATGAATCCCTGCAGTCATGAAAGCTTTAAATCGAAACATAATTGAGTTACCAATCTGCAACGCGTGGCTCTGCGCCACCACCATCGCCACCAACAGCCCCCACAGTCCCCAGCAGCGCCAGAGTCGTGTCCCCATCGTCCTCGATCCTGCCAGAGGTGGGGGAGAAGCGAAATACGGGAGAAATCACGACACGACCCGACACGCGCGCACGCGGTCACCGTTCATCGCGCCCGCGGTCGCGATTCCTGATCATGTTTTTGTTTGTTGCGGTTGCACCCGATTCGAGAGCCGAATGGCTCACAGGGCTATACCTAATGAATGAAACTGAGAATTTCTTGGGAACGCAGTCACCAGTCACTATTCCGTCGCACACGCGGGAACCAACACGTGGCGTGGTGTTCCTGTTTGTGTGGAGAGAACGAGCAAGTCCACCATCCCACCGCTGGGCTCAACGCACGGCGAGAATTCAACTCGAGCAAGCTGCAACTTTTGCAGACTTGGCGTGCGTTGTGCGTGCGTGCCTCTGGGCTGATCGCGTATGGCTATTGTTGATTCAGCTTATATATAAGCTCCAAGCTTGGCAGTGTCTCATTCTTCACCTGAAGACGGCTGCTTGCGTTGTAGCCGAAACGTCGTGAGAATTATTTTATTATGTTTATTTTTATTATTTTATTACTTCCCTTCTACGTGACTTTACCGAAAGAACCAACAAGATGAATCACTGTTGACTGTTAATTATCGATACTTCACCCCAATGGTCAGTGCTGCTTGGTGATCAGAATTTGTATTTGGACTGCAGGTGGAGGAATCCGATGAGCTATGACGCTTTTTTCCATAGATGTCCAGTAGATGGACACGGGAGTCAGCAAAGTTTGGTGACCGTGAGAGTCGTAATGAAGAAGTACTGTACAACATCTTCTTGGTTCTTTCGGTAAAGTCACGTAGAAGGGAAGTAATAAAATAATAAAAATAAAACATAATAAAATAATTCTCACGACGTTTCGGCCACAACCCAAGCAGCCGTCCTCAGGTGAAAACCAGGTCTGTCGAGGCGACAGCGTCTGAATGAAACAGCACACGTGCTTGGAGCATCTATATAAGCTGGGCGCATTGACAACAGAATTTGCATATCAAGATGAATTTAGCATATTTATGGGAAATGCAGGTATGTGATTAGTACTACTTATGCCCGTGCATTATGCAGGATTAGCAACACTTTACTCAGCACTGTCCAGCAGAGGTCGCAACCGGGTACCCGATACCCGTACCCTACCCGATACCCGGCTACCCGTACCCGGCCGGGTACGGGTACGGGTAGCTGTTTGCGACTCTGGTGCGGCCGGGTACGGGTAGGCCGTGAGTCACTGGTGAGTAACCGTTTGTCACTCATTTCCCAACGTCTTGTCTCTTCTTACAATTCAAGTTCCTAGAATCAACCCACCCGCGCCTGCAACATGGCTTCATCCCAGAGGTCGCAATCAGGTACCCGATACCCGTACCCTACCCAATATCCGGTCGAGTATCGGGTAGGGTACGGGTACCCGATACCCGTACCCTACCCGATACCCGGCTACCCGTACCCAGCCGGGTACGGTACGGGTACCCGTTTGCGACCCTGGTGCGGCCGGGTACGGGAAAGGAATCAAAACCCGTTTGCGACCTCTGCTGTCCAGGCTTAATCTCCCCGCTTAGCGTCCCAGGTCTAAGGCGATCGAACGCATTTCAGGTGGATTCTGTCACAAAAGACAAAGGTCCCCCACCCCCAGTGTAGCCTTTCAACAGACTGAAGGGGCAAGTGCTGTTAGTAGCGAGCAGCACGTGCTAAGCCATCATGGCACAAACTAGGCAGGTGGGTAGGCCAAAACCACGCCCCGGCTGTCTTTGTTTCCCCAGTGCTGATGTTCACACACTGCGCCGAATGCCGAGTTGAGTTCTTAGTGGACCAGGACTGGTTCAAATATTCGCCGTGAGCGGAGGATCGAACTCGGTCGAGTTTCACGTGGTTTCAAAGCACAGTAAAGTAGCGCTAACTGCTGCTACTACAGGGACTCCTCTACTTGCGAACATTCGACTTACGAAATTTCATAGATACGAAAAAACCTGTCAATATGTTCAGTTGCCTGTTCAGACCGAGATTCGTAAGTTCAAGTGCCGCGCAATAAACAGTGGTGGTGGTGGCATCTACATTTGCAGAACATGAAGAACCAGTGGCATCTACATCTGCAGAACGTGAACATACAGTGGCATCTACATCTACCGAACGTGAAGAACCAGTGGCATCTACATCTGCAGAACGTCAAGAACCAGTGGCATCTACGTCTGCAGAACATGAAGAACCAGTGGCATCTACATCTGCAAAACGTGAACATCCAGTGGCATCTATATCTACAGAACGTGAAGAACCAGTGGCATCTACATCTGCAGAGCATTAAGAACCAGTGGCATCTACATCTGCCGATCACGAAGATCCAGTGGCATCTACATCTGCAGAACATTAAGAACCAATGGCATCTACATCTGCAGAACACGAAGAACCAGTGGCATCTACATCTGGAAAACATTAAGAACCAGTGGCATCTACATCTACAGAACGTGAAGAACCAGTGGCATCTACATCTGCAGAACTTTAAGAACCAGTGGCATCTCCATCTGCAGAACATGAAGAACCAGTGGCATCTACATCTACAGAACGTGAAGAACCAGTGGCATTTACATCTGCAGAACGTGAAGAACCAGTGGCATCTACATCTGCAGAACATTAAGAACCAGTGGCATCTACATCTGCCGATCACGAAGAACCAGTGGCATCTACATCTGCAGAACATTAAGAACCAGTGGCATCTACATCTGCAGGATGTGTAGAACCAGTGGCATCTGCATCTGCTGAACGTGAAGGACCAGTGGCATCTACGTCTGCAGAACATGAAGAACCAGTGGCATCTGCATCTTGAGAACATGAAAAACCAGTGGCATCTACATCTGCAGAACATAAAGAACCAGTGGCATCTCCATCAACAGAATATGAAGAACCAGTGGCATCTGTATCTGCAGAACATGAAGAACCAGTGGCATCTACATCTGCAGAACATGAAGAACCAGTGGCATCTACATCTACACAACGTGAAGAACCAGTGGCATCTACATCTGCCGATCACGAAGATCCAGTGTCAATTACATCTGCAGAACATTAAGAACCAGTGGCATCTACATCTGCAAAACATGAAGAACCAGTGGCATCTACATCTACAGAACGTGAAGAACCAGTGGCATCTACATCTGGAAAACATTAAGAGCCAGTGGCATCTACATCTGCAGAACGTGAAGAACCAGTGGCATCTACATCTGCAGAACTTTAAGAACCAGTGGCATCTCCATCTGCAGAACATGAAGAACCAGTGGCATCTACATCTACAGAACGTGAAGAACCAGTGGCATCTACATCTGCAGAACATTAAGAACCAGTGGCATCTACATCTGCCGATCACGAAGAACCAGTGGCATCTACATCTGCAGGATGTGTAGAACCAGTGGCATCTGCATCTGCTGAACGTGAAGGACCAGTGGCATCTGCATCTTGAGAACATGAAAAACCAGTGGCATCTACATCTGCAGAACATGAAGAACCAGTGGCATCTCCATCAACAGAATATGAAGAACCAGTGGCATCTGTATCTGCAGAACATGAAGAACCAGTGGCATCTACATCTGCAGAACATGAAGAACCAGTGGCATCTACATCTGCATAACGTGAAGAACCAGTGGCATCTACATCTGCAGAACATGAAGTATCTGTGGTATTTACATCTGCAGAACATGAAGAACCAGTGGCATCTACATCTGCAGAACATGAAGTATCTGTGGTATTTACATCTGCAGAACATGAAGAACCAGTGGCATCTACATCTGCAGGATGTGTAGAACCAGTGGCAGCTGCATCTGCCGATCACGAAAATCCAGTGGCATCTACATTTAAGAACATCAATAACCAGTGACATCTACATCTACGGACATTATACAACTTTTTAAGCCATTCCCCTGTCCGTGAGTCACTCACCAGGGTGGTGAGTGTCTGTGTGTCACTCACCAGGGTGGTGAGTGTCTGTGTGTCACTCACAAGGGTGGTGAGTGTCTGTGTGTCACTCACCAGGGTGGTGAGTGACTGTGTGTCACTCACCAGGGGTGGTGAGTGACTGTGTGTCACTCATCAGGGGTGGTGAGTGTCTGTGAGTCACTCACCAGGGTGGTGAGTGTCTGTGTGTCACTCACCAGGGTGGTGAGTGTCTGTGAGTCACTCACCAGGGTGGTGAGTGACTGTGTGTCACTCACCAGGGTGGTGAGTGTCTGTGTGTCACTCACCAGGGTGGTGAGTGTCTGTGTGTCACTCACCAGGGTGGTGAGTGTCTGTGTGTCACTCACCAGGGTGGTGAGTGTCTGTGTGTCACTCACCAGGGTGGTGAGTGTCTGTGAGTCACTCACCAGGGTGGTGAGTGACTGTGTGTCACTCACCAGGGTGGTGAGTGTCTGTGTGTCACTCACCAGGGTGGTGAGTGTCTGTGAGTCACTCACCAGGGTGGTGAGTGACTGTGTGTCACTCACCAGGGTGGTGAGTGTCTGTGTGTCACTCACCAGGGTGGTGAGTGTCTGTGAGTCACTCACCAGGGTGGTGAGTGACTGTGTGTCACTCACCAGGGTGGTGAGTGACACACAGACACTCACCACCCTGGTGAGTCTGTGAGTCACTCACCAGGGTGGTAAGTGTCTGTGAGTCACTCACCAGGGTGGTGAGTGACTGTGTGTCACTCACCAGGGTGGTGAGTGTCTGTGTGTCACTCACCAGGGTGGTGTCACTCACCAGGGTGGTGAGTGACTGTGAGTCACTCACCAGGGTGGTGAGTGTCTGTGTTGTGGGTCACTCACCAATAGTTGTGAGAGTCTGTGCTTTGAGTCACTCCGCTGTAGGGTGAGAGTCTGCGCTGTGTTTGAGTGTAAGGTGACTCTTCAGGTGATAGAGAGAGCTGGGGGGGGGGGGGGTAGGAACAGGTTGTCCGGCTAGAAATTCCACTTTTCTGTAGTTTCCTCATTCTCATGCACACGACGATTGTTCGATAAGCCCCGACCAGACCATACCGTAGCCATGGAGTCAATCATGGGGTGGGACCAAATCGTCCAGGGTGTCTGGGGGGGTCCCAACCCAGAGAAAATGAACCCGTAAAAACAAAGTTTTTCACTATAAATTCTTTATATGGGTGGCATCGATTTTATTTTATTATTCATTTCTGTTTTTTATTGAGTAAGAGTTTCATTTTGATCACATTGGTATTTTAAATTAAATATGAATTTTATTTTCCTAAAAAGTGGAAAATTTTGGAAAATATTTTTCACGAACATTAATTGTCACGCACAACGAGTCTGTGTGCAAAATGTCAGCTCGATTGGATCACGGGAAGTGGGTTAAAAAACGACCGAAAGATTTGCACGGTCATAAGCAAGCAAGCACGCAAGCAAGCAAGCAAGTGAACTTAATATAAAGGATAAGTATAACCCGTAAAAACAAAGTTTTTCACTATAAATCCTTTATATGCGTGGCGGCTAGAGTCCTCTCGTCCTCTGGCTTGAGATGGCTGCCACCTATGGGTCAGATGATTGTCTGGCAGCATTTAGCAATTGGTAATTAAATATTTAATTTGTTTTCTCTAAACAGTGTAAAATTTTGGGAAGAAAATTTCACGAACATTAATTGTCTCGCACAACGAGTCTGTGTGCAAAATGTCAGCTCGATTGGATCACGGGAAGTGGGTTAAAAAGCGACCGAAAGATTTGCACGGTCGTAAGCAAGCAAGCAAGCACGCAAGCGAACTTAATATAAAGGATTTAATAAAAAAAAAAATCTAAATTTTAAAACGAATTTCCTGCCTAAAATATAAAAAACTTCACTAAAACGTGGATAGACTTTTTATTAGTTTTTTACAATAATGTCTAATAGTGTATTGCATTACATTGCTGATTTTACTTTATTTCTTTTTACCATTTCGTGTTTCATTGTATGTAATGGCAGAGATTAGGGATTAATAAAGTACAACCATAACCACAATCATATAAACAGAAATCTATGCGTTGTTATATGAAGACAAGTCCAGATATTGTGGCCAAGGTTTAGCAAATTGTTGTTTTTATTTACATAGCATCGCAATTTTTATAGCAATATATTGTGGGGGGGGGGGGGGGGGGGGGACATTTTGAGCATATTTGAATATTGGGGGGGATGTGTCCGCCACAATTTGTTATTATAATTACGGCCTTGACACAGACCCACTAAATTTACACTATGAGACCTCCTTTACCAGTGGCACAATATAGTAATAGGTTTTTACCCTTTCAACTGGTATAAAAACTGACACCTTTATACAAGGCATTATGTTTGCAATCACCACAACACTTGTAGTCAAATTGCAAAAAAAAAGAAACAACTCTGATGATGATAATGATATGCACTGTCCTTGAAGTTGATTGGTCCACACCCGAGACAGCTTTTCTTAGAGCCTAGTCTCCATTGGTGTTGGACCAGATGACGCCAAAAGGCGCACAACTCACAGACAGCGCACTATCAGAGTATTGAGAGCTCGGGGTGAAGCATTTACACTATGAGACCTCCTTTACCAGTGGCAAAATATGGTAGTAGGTTTTTACCCTTTCAACTGGTACAAAAACTGACACCTTTATACAAGGCATGTAAATGCTTACCCCGAGCTCTCAATACTCTGATAGTGCGCTGTCTTTGAGTTGTACGCCTTTTGGCGTCATCTGGTCCAACACCAATGGAGACTAGGCTCTAAGAAAAGCTGTCTCGGGTGTGGACCAATCAACTTCAAGGACAGTGCATATCATTATCATCATCAGAGTTGTTTCTTTTTTTTTGCATTTTGACTGCTTGTGTTGTGGTTAAGGCAAACATGATGTCTTGCATAAAGGTGTCAGTTTTTGTACCAGTTGAAAGGGTAAAAACCGATTACTATACTCCACCTAACGTTAACAACACCCACCATCAACTGCTACTCGTGTCAAGCTGGGTGCACCTTAGGACCAAGTTGAAGTGAGATAAACTCGCTGGCGAGAGGTTATGGTAGCTCTACCCGGCGTTATGAACTTACTGACAGAAATGACTGGCCCATTGACTACGTGTGCTTACTACTTTGCCAATTGGCGGTGTTTCTAGCCGACCGGCTTTCCGCTCGTTGTTTTGAGCATCGCTCGCTGTTGTTGGGAGGGTGACTGCCTTCAACTTGCCAGTAGCAGCGTCTTTCACGAGCCTCCTCCACAGAGGCCGATCTTGACAAGGCTGGCACCAGTCACCTGCAAATCCACTCAGCTCCACGTCAGTTTGTACCACATCACTCCATCTCCTCTCTGGCTCGTTCAGCGCCCGTTTAGCCCCCTTTATCCGGCAGAACAAAGCTGTTTAGGTATGCGGTAACCCAGCCAACGCAGCCTTGGCTGCAGGAGGAGCTCACCGATCGGAAGTGTCCAGATCTTTCAACGATTTATGAACTCCTCACACAATCCAGCCTGGTTAAAGCCAGGATGGATCGTCGTTATGCCAGCCTGAATGTTTCCCACCGGCGAAGATGTTCCATTCGGGGAGGTCCAGGTTTCACAAGCATAGAGAAGGGAGGGCATGACCGTGGCCGAGAAGACCCGAAGCTTCGTGCGGAGCGACAGACAAGGTAGCTTCCACACAGCATTATGCAGCTGATGACAAGCTCATGCCGCGCGACTGATTCGGAGTGAGACCTCTGCTGTCAAACCAGGGTACACGCACACAGTGGCTAGGAGATGTTAATTAGCTTGCCTGGTATACAGGAGGTCGTTGTTCAATCCGGACCCTGACACCGGCTGTATATTTGGAGTTTGCGTGTCTCTCTCTATCCGTGGTTGCGTGGGTTTTTTCTCTGGGTCCTCCCGGTTTTTTACTTCTAAATTTAGAAATGCGCGTTTAGAGTATTTTAGCTGCGATACATTTCCACATGATGACAAGCCACCTCGTTGAGCTATAACACTGGTCAACACACTTTTTCTGGCATAAGGTATTCCAACGGTCTTAATGTAATTTTGGGGTGCTGATTCCAAATCTGGCATCAGTTTTTGTCTATCACATCAGGTTTTTGAGATATCCAAGATTGCATTTTCAATACAAACTGCAGAAGAAAAATATTAAATAAATGTGGATATCTACATAAAATGATATTATAAACACACTATCCTAAAAATACAGCACCATATTTTAACACTAAAGCAGTCACTGACTCGCAACAACTTGCAATCATAAGTGACAGAGTTAATTTCGGGTAAAATCAATGAAAATGGGGTATGCCGATAGCGTAAAATGAGATGTGATGGAGCAAATCTGGGATCAGATTTGGAATCAGCACCCTGAAATTAGTCTAAAACAGCTGCAAAAGTCCAGGCCAGAAATGTTTTTTTTGTTGACCAGTGTTTTTTGTGATAACCAGGTCGCATTTGAAAAAGAGCTACACAGCGCAGTGGGCCTCACCTGGTAAAAAAAACGTTATAAGTTCAGGCTTTAAATGTGTAATTAGTAATTAGGTTAAATTTCGATTTAAAGCTTTCGTGACTGCAGGAAGTCATCTTCTTGGTTCTTTCGGTAAAGTCACGTAGAAGGGAAGTAATAAAATAATAAAAATAAAACATAATAAAATAATTCTCACGACGTTTCGGCTACAACGCAAGCAGCCGTCTTCAGGTGAAGAATGAGACACTGCCAAGCTGGGAGCTTATATATAAGCTGCGTTGGAGGTGGAAGAAGAGCGCCTTGACAAAAGGATGTGCATATCAAGAGGAATTTAGCATATTCATGGGAAATGCGTAGGAGGTGGGTGAGGGGGTTTCAAGGGAGGGGGCAGGGGGTAGCATTAACAAAGGGAGGGAATGTTAAAGCAATGAAACATGTGAATGGGAGAGCGGTGACAGAAGACCCGCAGCGGAGCAAATAATGCATTCCCTGTGAAGAACACAAGATACACAGTTAATGCCCAGTGAGTGGATTGCGGTCTGTTCACGTTTACGGTGACTTTCAGACCGCAATGTTTCATTGCTTTAACATTCCCTCCCTTTGTTAATGCTACCCCCTGCCCCCTCCCTTGAAACCCCCTCACCCACCTCCTACGCATTTCCCATGAATATGCTAAATTCCTCTTGATATGCACATCCTTTTGTCAAGGCGCTCTTCTTCCACCTCCAACGCAGCTTATATATAAGCTCCCAGCTTGGCAGTGTCTCATTCTTCACCTGAAGACGGCTGCTTGCGTTGTAGCCGAAACGTCGTGAGAATTATTTTATTATGTTTTATTATTTTATTACTTCGCTTCTACGTGACTTTACCGAAAGAACCAAGAAGAGTGATTAGGTCATTTAACACCTGCAGCCATGGAGGTGCTGAAATAAACGGAGATGTCAGAAAAAAAACATAATTAAATGTAATGAAGGCCCCAAATTGGGACAATTGATTGAATCGCAATGGGAGAGAATCGTTACAGGCCCTGAAGTGTCCTGACGCCCATAACGTAGAATCAAATACATTGCCAATGTTTCATTACAGCATATAGCAGCCACCATCATGATGCGTTTGTTGCTAAAAAAATATTTGTGCAGTAGTCGGGGCTTAATTAGAGCTTTGCGGTTGAGTTCCAGATCGTGGTTGAGGGGGAACCTCAGAAAATATTCCATGAGATATGAAGCTTCTTGGCTCTTTCGGTAAAGTCACGTAGAATGGAAATAATAAAATAATAATAAAACATACTAAAATAATTCTCACGACGTTTCGGCCACAACGCAAGCAGCCGTCCTCAGGTGAAGAGCAGGTCTCTCGAGGAGACAGAGTCTGAATGACAACCCCTGGATTTGGAGCACATTCCACCTCTGGTATGGTATCCACACCACCTGTACCCACCACTGTCAACTGGCTGCGTTTTTAGCTGCCCGGCACTCCGCTTGTTGCCGTGAGCGTCGCTCCTCTGCCCTCTATTG